ACACCACAAATTCACAATAATTGTAATCCTCATTTGGGCAAGAGATGCGACTAAAGTATATGAATGATAAATGATGATACCCATGTGTTTGTTGCAAACGTTTAATTGTTTGGTTACATCAACCAAACTTAACTTATTAATTATTATATACATATTTGCATGAAACCCATACTCTCATGTGTTTTGGCCAGCTCAGTGTTCGCCCTTTTAATTTATTCTTGTAGTGATCAGTAGAAGAAACAAAAAATTCACGAAACGTTACTCTTTTGAGTTGAGAATGGTGGATACTCTCGATTAGTCGATTGTTTGGATGCTTTGTATTTTTTTCCCTCAAATAAACCCCTCAATTTCGGTTAGCAACAAAAACCCTCAATTTTAATAATTTGTTTGTGATTAGTAAACGCCAAATGCAAACAAAAATATATTTTTCGCTTATATTTGGTAGTTGTACTTTTCATGTGGATGCAAAGTTTTATATTTAAACTGAATTAAAGATTAGGTGGACAAAATTTTAGATTTTCGACCGTAGTTCTTTGATCATGTTAATCGTTGCATTTGGTTTATTTTTCGCGATTTTCCATTACCTCGGTGACAGCGTGTGAGTTTTGTTGTTCCGTGTCTCCTGCTCTTTATGCAGTATATGTAGATTGAGAGTGTTTCTCTCATGTTCTTGGGTTCGGTATTAGTTTCGGGTTTGCTTTCAGTAATCTTTCGGAATTTATTTTATTTGGTAAATTTTTAGACTTTGTTTTCCGATAAACTTTCGGGCTATGCTTCCAAGAGTATCCAACTTTATAATTCGGCTCGATTATCCTATATAATATTCAGATCGGAAAAAAAAACCGACAATATATGTACTCTGTTTCAAAATTTTGCATTTTTTTAACTTCTTTTCTAGTGTAAAAAAAACGTATAAATTGCGTTTGAGACAATCGCGGTCACCTTTAATGGGCTCTAACTAGGGTCAGAGAATTGCACATGTAGCCCATTGCTTGATACCCAAGTTGATAGATACAACGTCAAAAGAAACTTAAAAGATTACAGAAATCTCTTAACAGAAACAGGTTTTCGGTCCGTTGGTGCTCATTGTGTCTATTATTGCCGCACCATTTTTACATTATTGTCTTATCTAATTTTTTTTTTTTGGTATGAATGTTAAATTTTATACCATTTTCTGTTTATGATTTTACAATGTTGTTATCAAACAACTTATTTCATGATGATACTAAAAGGGGAAATTAACTGAAATTACAAAGCACCTACAACACAATGAAAATACACCTCAAGGAGAGACGGAGTGCTTACACTTGTTGCAGGGAAAGAGAGAAGTCGATCCCGCATCAACCTGTCTGCAGCAGCCCGGATAGCTACCAATGTCGAGGACGTGGAGACGAAGATACGGCGATTACGCTCTTTCCAAAGGAGGTAAACACATACTTGAAGAAGCAGCTTGACAACAACTCCTTTACTTGAACGAGCGAGGTCCCGATCATTTGAGATAGTAGCAACGACCGATTGTATATCCAAACGCTGAGGAAAACCAAACGCAGAGGTGAAATTGCTCCAAAGCTCTGAAGAGAATTGACATTCAAAAAATAAATGGCTATGTGACTCTTGCTTCTAAGAACACAACACACACATATCTGACACATTAAGGCCCCATCTTCTAAGCCTATCCCTTGTTGGAAGTCTTGATAGCATAACCAACCAAGTAATAAAGGTACAACGGGGAATTTCCTCTTTAAACCATATCACCTTACTCCATGAAACCAAAGGAGAGCGATCTCGAATTAAATCCCACGTGGACTTAGAAGAGAAATTTCTTACATATGTACCCGCTGCATTTCGCCAGAAGTAAGTGTCCTCACCTCTAGATTCAAGAGGAGGCATGACTGTGGTGAGTTGGATATGCAGAGTCAATGCTTCTTCCAATCTTGCCGCATGCAAGCACCAACTTTCCTCATGGGTAGCTTGGATTACCGAAGCCTCCAGAGATATTTTCAACTGTCGTGGACCCCTGTCATCAATGAAATAGATAAGAGGTCCCAAATCTGACCAGTAATCAAACCAGAAAGAAGCCATTTTGCCGTCACCTATCTCACACCGTAAAAACTGCACCAGCAAATGTTTAAGCTGGAGCATGCTTCTGATGGCTGGTGAGAACCGATTAGCATCATTAGTTAGCCAGAAACTCTTCCTTCCAAAGAATTACGGTTAACCCATGCAACCCATAGTGAGCCTGAATTAGCAAAAAGGTTCCAGATAAGCTTGAGTCTAAAAACCTGCTCAAAATCCT